ATCTGGCCTTGAGACTGTGGGTGGTGTGGCCTACCATGAACCATGCAAACTTCAAATTCTTTGCAAAGTTTTTGCACTACCTCTCCAATGAATTCACCACCATTATCTGACTGAATTACAGTAGGTGACCCTTCCTTGATGAACAAGGCCTTCAGAACGGCATACACTTCTTCTGCAGACTTTGTTTTTAACGGAACAGCCAACAAAACTTCGAGAAACAGCACTTGACTGTTAGAATGTAACGGTAGCTCCAACAATTATTCTGCATAAAACTACGGTGCTTCTTTGGGGCCATGTCAATAAGGTCACTCTGTAGTCTGGAATGGGGGCGAAAAGATCTAATGGGGACAGGAGGGGAAGCACTTCGCATTGGCAAGGGGTTGTTGACCTGACATGTTGAGCATCGAGCCAAGAAGGCCCTAATAAGGTTGAAAATACCCTTAAATACATATTTTTGATTGAATAGCCTACTCAAGGCATTCACCCCCTCCAGAGAGGCAAGTATCCTCTCAAGGACACCTTTAATGTAGTGTAAACTGCTTAATACACCATCTACAGCCTCTCTATAGAGAAGTTGCTTTGTAGTCTTAAGCTCTCCTTGAACATAACTGTTGACCAAAACAACAAGGATGCCATTTTTGTCACGGACAATCTTACCTTCTTGGTCAAGTTTTAGTGTGTAGACCGGTCTTTTCAGGCTACGTCGTTCAAAAAATCGTCTTTTATACTGATTAAAGAAAGCATTTAAGTTTTCATTCTTCTCTGAAGAAATACCATCTTTTGGGAAAGATGTATATCCTGGAGTACAATACAAAACTGTATCTGCCAGTTTTTCATAAAAATATTTCTGGCATCCATTGAAGCTACAATCTGCTAAATAAAATATAGTATTTGTGAATAAGTAGTAGTTATAGAAGATTGCTACCTTTAACATACATTTATTGATTAACCCTTTACACCCTAACATCAGTATGCATATTCTCCATACTGTTCTCTATACATTTCCTGAAGCCCTGACAAAGAGAGTTTTTATAAAAATCAAGAGCTTTATAAATTGTTGGTCATTTCCTTTATTCTCATGAACTCAATGTTTGATTCAGGGGTGATATTGTAAGGAGAAATTAGAAGCTGGTCACTTTTAGGGGTTAAAGGGTTAAGATTTTTTCTTCCATAACGGGTAAAACAGATCCTATTTAATGGTTCAGAGATGACCTTTCTACAAGTAACTGGAATTGAGGCAATGGAAGATATTACTGCATGCTCAGTATATTGTTGCACAAAAGTATTTAAAAGTTTCCTGTTTCTGAATTTCAGTAGTGGATAACTGTTGTATTCCAGCACTGTTATTTTCCAGCCCCTCTCAGCTGTTCTCAGTTTCTCAGCAGGAGTTAATTATTGTATTCCAGCACTGTTAATTTCCAGCCCCACACAGCTGTTCTCAGTTTATCAGCAGGATTTACTGTTGTATTCCAGCACTGTTAATTTCCAGCTCCACACAGCTGTTCTGAGATTACTAGCAAGGAATAAATATTCTTTTCCAGTCCTTACTTGTATTTTCAGTTGCATACTATTCTTCCCACATTTCTTAATAAATGAACCTATATTTTGTGGACACTTCTATATCACAGACACTGGAGAAGGTTCTCAGAGAAGTTACCTTTGATACTTTTATAACTATAAAAGTAATAGCTTTCACTGCAATTTAAAGTGATTTAATTTTTGAAATACAGTTAACTTCTCCACTAACCCCACAACACCTGTGCAAAGCATGTCAATTACAAATAACAAATATGGAGAGTTGCAAAATACTTTCAATACTTTATAGTGCAAGCAATGTATTCCTTACCGTCATTTTTTTCAGTGTTTTCTTTCCATTTACAGACTCAAGTGGCTGTAATGAAAAAAAAACAAATTCAAACAATTTTACCTCACTTCTTAAAAGCAAGAAGTCACAAGACTAAACAACAAGTGTAGAAACTTAGACATACTTAGGCTAAAACTCTGATTCAAAAATAAAAAAATGACCCCCCAAAAAAAAAAAAAAATTGTACCACTGTCTTTGATACCATCCTGTCACTCTCCTTTTTTTTCACTTTTCTTTACTTCTAATTTGTAAACACATATAATGCTCCTTCTCAATGGGAAGTGTCTTCAAGAAAACCCAAATAACTAAAACAGTATTGGCAAGAAAGATAGCCAAATGAACAGTAGTATCGAATTAGAGCTTAGAGCAATTAAACGACATGAATGGCTGCTACACCCCATTCTTTTTTTTTACAGGTCTACATGAACTAGATTTTGAGCACAGAATGCAATACCTCACCAAACATCTGCTATGATGACTCACTTAAAAGTGTGCATGATTATCACCTCTTGCTGAGATAGCACACTTCACTTCAATGTTTTTTATTACACATATATGGGGGGCTTTGGTAAGATTGTGGAAAGGAGGGACAACGTTTGAGCAGCTGGGAGGGACCAAAATGACAGTGTGACAGCCATTTATTCCCACTTGGATGGCAAAGTCTGGGGAACCTTCCCCTGGAAATTTAAAAGTTCAGATGTCCAAAAGGGTCCATTTTAGGCCACTATTTCCCAAGTTGGCTAAAAATTATAGCTGCTACGAGGGTGAGTATTGACACTGAATTAATGAATAGAGTACCTTTTATGTAACTAACTATATAAACATTATACATAGCAATGTTGTCTCTGTGATGATGTCTGTGTGGTCTTGTTTGATTTTTACTTTTGCATTGCTCAAAAAATGAGATTATGCTGAGGACAACATTAGATTTTGGGGTACAGTGCTGTGATTTCTAACACAGTATCTTTAATGCAATTACTGATGGCAAAGGAGTCAATTAGTACTTCAATGATAGATGTAGAGCATGGCAATTAATGAAACGATCAATGTCTAATCATGAACTAGCTCTTTGTCAGTGACAAGTTCGCAAAATTAATATTGGTGAAGGTTACTTCATACAACAATTACTGTAAACCACCATACCAAAAAACATGGTGACTGGTACATTCAACCAGAACTCTTTGTGCAAGAAAATACTGGAACCACTCATAAAAACAAGCAGTAAAGGTCTGAAAAATTTAAACCTTGCATACATAATGTTGTTGTTTTGTGAAATATTGCTTTCTACGAGTGCCTTAGCCTAAGAGTAATAGTAAAATGCACAGGTGCCATATTTGTCTGTGAGTGGATTAAATCTATTGGGTGAACACCAGAAAAAAGTGATATTGATACAAATAGGCTGAGGGTTTAGTATAGGTATGCTGTGGTATAGTATAGGTATGCTGTGGTTTAGTATAGGTATGCTGTGGTTTAGTTTTATCCTTAGTTTAATTCTTTTACTTTTAATAGAGGCCAAATTGATAGTGACACATCATCTCATCATAACTTAGGCTAGGAGCTAAATTTTATCTTTCTTTACACAAAATGCATTTTTCATTCATATCATTAACAAAACCAAAGGAAAATGATGTTTATACCAAGGACAAAAATTAAGCACAACATATACCTTTTTATAACTAGTGCATAATTCGCCAAGAAAATGTTTAGAATAGAGCTTACCACCTCATCAGCACTTTTGTTTTCTTTGCTCTGCTGCTGGTTCTCATCCATGCCTGTATGAATGATATTTAGTAAAGGTGAAAGGATTGGTATTTTCTTAGCAAAGATAGTTGCAGAGAGTTTCTCCACTAATATACAGATCGCCAAATGCTCACAATGAATGCCAACAAGACCAAGTTCTTGCTAACACATGTAGGAGCAATAATTGCTAATAGTAGGCAATAGTCTGCATTGAATTAAGTATTCATTTCTGCATGAATTAGTGTTTATTTCATTTTAATGTTTGTGACACATAGTTGAAAAAGTATGGATAATGTGGTAACATATAACATACATATTATTATCATATTCCTTATAATTTGGTACAGGGGACTTTACTCTAAATTGATCAAGAGTAATTTTGCTGCAATTCTGTCCCTTCTGGGTGAGCAAAGAGAATGATTTAACACATTGTAACCCAACTGTTACTTGTTGGAGAGCATTGGGAGACAGCACCCTATCCTTTATGAAAGAGACCAGATCTTCATCATACGAGTTAGCAGTTTGTGAGTTAACCTCCCAGGATATGTGATATTTGACATCAACCATACCAGAGGTTGAATTTTGCGTAGTCCCATACATTTACAATGAATACATGTCTTCCACTGTATCCATAATAGCCATCATTGTAGGCACAATGAGATGGAGAAAATCACACATTTTTGGGCATTGAAACACCGAGATCTGCCCTGTTTTTCAATTATGTAACATCTAGTTTTACATGTCCCACGCAAAATAAAAAAATCAGCCCTCGACACTGAAGGATTCAATGAATCCAAGTTAGTAGTTACTCGCACGCTTCGCCATGCTGTCACATGAAATCTACAGTATTAAGCCCAAAACTTGAACGTGATCTTTGAAGAATGGTTGTAATATTTGAATTTAACAAAATACTAGCATAAAATGCAACCGAAACCTTACCTTCCTTTAGTAGTTCCGACAAAAAAGCACAACTTCGATCACCAGCGCACTCCAAACCAATAAGGGAAGCTACGAGGCAATGTCAAATTCTCGTCTTCCTAACCTTTCCAACGTATCGAAGAAAATTTCACTGATACTTCGCGCTTAAAAACGCAACAAGAATATTAATCTTTCAACAATCCGAAGTGTCCCAAAAGGCATCAAGGATAAGCCCATGAAACAAGAATAGCCCATGAAATTCTCAAACTTCGAGCGCGGAAAACTTAACGATAGTCTCACAATTTTGCATTGCATCCCTCCCCTAGTTGGGAAGTGACACGCAGAAGACACGTTCACAACGCACTTTGATTGGAAGAAATAAAACCGCATTCTATTGGTTATTAGGTGTGAGGACATAACTACAACGGAAGACACAACTGCAACGCTACAATCTCATACATGAATATAAAGAAGCAAGATGGCTGACAGGCAAGTCATTTCTCCAAATTTCTTCAATCTTCCTTGGGAAGACGTTGTTTTTCCGCATATATTTCCCTGTTTCACCATACCACAATTATTTCAGCTCAGAAAAGTGTGCATATTCTTCCGAGAGGCTTGTGATTCGTACTTCTCTTGGCAAAGAACTCTAGATTGTAGCCGGATTTCATCTCGCCTTACATCGAATGCTTTCATGTTAATGACTAAATCAAATTCTTGTTTACGAACGCTGGTCCTGAAGAACTGCAAAAGCTGGCTGAGCGATGACGTCTTGGTTGAATTATTAAAGCGAAATACTCGGCTATGCGAGCTTGATTTAACTGCTTGTTCGAGTTTGACAAATCTAGCACTCTTCACGTTAGCGGAGTTTAACCCGGATTTGAAAGTTTTAAAGTTACGCGAATGTCGTTGGGTATCATCCGACGCCATTACGCAGTTATCTTTATGCTGCAATTCTCTTCAGATTATTGATTTGACGGGCTGCTGGGACGTCGCTGATTCATGTGTTTCCTCCCTAGCCTCGTGCTGCAATGGATTGCAAACTGTGCTTCTTAATGACTGTTATGGTATTAGCGATAATTGTGTTCGAATCATTGCAAACTCGTGTCCTCAGCTGAAACATCTCGGTTTACGAGGCTGTTGGCGAGTTTCCAATTCTGCTGTAAAACTGATCGGAGAATACTGCTCTTTACTCAGTGTTCTTGAAGTTAAGGATTGTCGAGATATTTCTGAAGTCAGTCTGGCCCGATTGAGGGTTCGCGGGGTGCAAATTGATGTCGAAAAAACCAAATGGCAACGAATGGCTATTGGCGTGAATGAAAATCGTGAACAAATGGATTGGCAATTTCCTTTAGTCAACCTTAATATCTAAAAGTTGGAACTTGTGTGCTCCCCTTATTCAGTGTGAGGAATGTGATCTACAAGTATCACAGTGCTCCTTTACAGACGTCCTACGCGAATTTTTTTAGGGGAAGGGGGTGCGTTCTATGTTGTCTTTTAAAGTGAGAGTTAAGTCTGTACTCAAGCCAAATGACCCACATAACTAGAACTAAGGGGCCAGTCATTTATTGTCTGGGGGGGAGGGGAGAGGAGGATCTTTGGGGAGATCACATGGTTTTCAGGGGGAGCAGAGGGCAGATCAGTTGTCATCAACTGAAGATAAAGGGTGGGACTGTTAACAAGGGAGACTTCATAAGAATATTACAGAGTCTTAAGGGGATCAGGTAAATTTTATCATGAAACAACCAAAATCCCCCATAATAGAGTTTTGTATTACCAGTAGTATTGTGGGATATTTATAACTCCCCTCACCTCTTCATCCTTATTACCAAATTACCAACATGGGATAATTTAATTGGACTTCTCTGCAGTCACTGTGTGTCCAAAGTTTATCAAGGTTAAGTAATGAGTGACAAAAAAAAATTATTTAATTAAAAAGTGGGAAATAGCTAGATGAATTTTTACCTGTAAACAAATGTGTTATCCATGAGTTATACATAAAGGGAGTCACTGTCACCCTGCTTTATACTCATACCAAATAACAATCCAAAAGTCAGATTGAAGTTTAATAGAAGTCCGCTTTATTAAGACTAGTGCTTTGATTGCAGTACTCTTATAAAGAAGTTTTTTAAATACCTAATTCTCTAGTTATAAAGACATACACTCATTACATTATATAGAATTTAGCTGAATAAGTCACCCCTTGATTTTGATTTAGATCCTAAAGGAAGCACTGGCAAAACATAATTAAAACAACTTAAATTTTAATAAAAAAAGAAAAAAGGACAGACTGTACACTAATCGGGTCTTGTTAATTAACCCTTCATCTCCTATAAGTGATTAACATGTAACTTCTGCCTATAATATCCAGACATCCAACAAACAGGTAATGAGAGTACGGAAAATTTTCAAGGGAAAGTTTTAATCTTGATCAAACAACAAATTCTCATAATCAATTTAGAGGGAAATGTGTAGCAGCCAGAGGGGAGAATTGACAATCAGATCTTGGGAGGTTAAAGGGTTAAGGTATGAGATTATGAGACCCTGCTTTGGACTCAAAAAAGTGTTCACCTGTTGCAGGCACGTCATTATTCTCTCTCCATTGGGAGATTTGCAGAGCACTCAAGAGGCTGGTGTTTCCTTCACTTCTTGCTCTGAGTGACTCTCATTCAAACATAATTCCTAGCAACTCCTAATCTGACAGCCTAAACTCAATCATGTGCAATCTGCTGGACAACATGCATTAAAGTTTTTGAAAGTTCTACCAATTGATCAAGTTACATAAAGAAATTGAAACAAACTACACAACAATCACCTTTCACCGTGTTCAAATCCTGCACTATAATGTAAAGAGAATTTTACAACAGAGAAGTTTTCTTGGTAGTAAGAGTGTTGATTCACTCAGAATATGTATTTACATAAACAATACTTTAATTTAAATTAATATCTGAATAAAATGCTCTTGATATAGGCTGATGTCTCATCTGAAGGTTGATTGCCTTTGTCTTGTCATTGTTACATTTTCCTGGAAAGTAACAGAAAAAATCTTGAGAATGGGGAATTTCATCTCAAGGTTAAGTTTTTTAACCTACTGGCATATTAACCCTTTTATTCCCAGATCAAATTTGTCATTCTCCTCAATGTCAACTGTACAATTCTTACAGGGTTAGTTCAGAGAATTTAGTATTGGATCAACTAATTATCCCACAAATTGATATTTTTCTTTATTCTCATCACTTATCTGGTTGGTATTGTATTGATATTGTAAGGAGAAATTCTGTCTTGGTCACTCATGGGAGTTAAAGGGTTAAAACCCATTTTAATTGAGGGCCATGAAACCCAAAACCCAAGCTCTAATGGGTGTGTGATATGCCAAGATAATGTTAACAACAATGATGTTAAGGACAATAATGATGAAGAAAAGTAATGTTATTATATTTGTTGGTGGTGTCTTGTTTACTAGCACTATTTAACAATCAGGCTCAGTTTCTAACCTGGACTTCAACAATTATTACAAACTGGGGTGGATACTTACCAGCTTCCACTGAAGAATTTTGATCCACTCTTCAGCTTCTTGTGTTGAATTTGCATAACAGAAGAATGTTCTGTATGGCATGACAATCCTGAGGAAAAAGAGATTTGAAGCATGTTCAGTTTCAAATGTCTGTACAAGGTAGCTTTTGTTCCATATTTAAGGCTTCAAGCCTCTAACTTCCAAGATCTGAATGCTAATTCTCCCCTCTAGCTGCTACACATTTTCTTTTTACCCTTTAACTCCCAGATCAAAATTGTAATTCTCCCTGCTGTCAACAATACAATTCTTATGATGTTAGTTCAGAGAATTAAGTATTTGATCAACTAATTATCCCCAATTTGGTCTTTTTCTTTATTCTCATCCCTTATCTGGTTGATATTGTATAGACATTGTAAGGAGAAATTCTGTCTTGGTCAGTCATGGGAGTTTAAGGGTTAAAGCAGTTACAAGAATTTGGTGTTAGATCAAGATAACAAATTCTACCTGATAAGTGTGAGTATTTTCATCACCTGTTTGCTGGATGATGTATAGATATTTTAGGGAGATAATAAATATTAATCACTTCTGAGAGTTAAAGGGTCAAGTCTCTAGCTTAGCTTGTGTGAATAGGCTCTTAGAATTACTGGGGTGGAAGCCGCCTAGGGAGCTTGTATTTTGCTTTTCTCCTTGTATCTGAACATACTTGCACCAAAGCATCTAGGAGGGACCTGTGTATCATCTAAATGGTAGAGTATTTTGGAAGAAAGGGACAGCCTGAGGTTTAAATTTTTACCTTTACCTCTCAAGTTCAAAACAGATATATTGAGAAATTGTTTTTCAGAAGAAACATTTGAGAGCAGCCAAAGAATGGGTGGTCAGTGCAACAAAACTTACTTGTCTTCCACAATAATTAAACTCAAAGGTTACCTGAAACAATTTCCTTTTCCTAATGAGTCATCTCTTGCCACTTCTTGACATTCTTCAAGGTCTATCGTTTTAATAGGTTCTTTGTCCTTAATTGCAGAATTTAAGCAAGTTAGAAATCTGAAAAATTTGTTGCAACTAAAATAACTTTGTTATCTTGGCAAGTACGTGTCTTAGTTCAACAACTCACCCCTTTTGTTTTAAAGTACTTCAGTTCATTTTTCAGTAGTACAAACCACCTTGTTTTCCAATTCTGCAAGAAAAAAATTAATTATCTTAGTTTCACCAAATGTGAATTGTCTTAAAAGAACAAGAAATTCTCACACCTGACATATAAGGAAATGTATGGAAGTCAGACAGGAGAATTTGTAATCTGATCTTGAGAGTGGTAAAATGTGTTTTCTCACCTTTACTTTGCCACCAAGTTTAGTGAGATATCCTTCTTTTGAACCAAACTGGGAAAAAAAAAAAAAAAAAAAAAAAAAAAAAAGGGTCATCCTACAGTTTTCATTTATTCCAACCAAAAACATATTTTACACAGATACCCAGAACAGGGGCAGTTTAGGATGTTGAGAGAGGGTTGATTGGAAAAGTCAAGAGAAAATTCTCCTCATCCAGTGGCTCCTTTTCATGCTAAGAATTTTCTTATCATATTATTACTCTAAACACTTATTTGCTTAAAACTGTACAACAAGCAGACGGCAATTCAGACAACAAGGAGTTCTAAGGGTGGACAGAGGAAATATGAAAGAAAATATCCTCATTCCACATTAAGAATTTTCAATCTTAGATTATCAATTCTCAGTGAGTTATTTAAGGTGATTGAATGGGTGAGACCAGCTGCCTGCGGCGATGACTCCCTTGCGAGATATATTGTGGATATGTTAATTACTGACAAAAGTTGTACTCAGGACTACCATCACATACACTATCAGACCACAAAATTCAATACTAATTCCCCCCGATACCCCCCCTAAAAAAAAAAAAACTTATAAGTTTCAAGCACAGATTTTAAGCAGTTCTCACTTACAGAATGATCCATAGAGTTTTCTATGCTACTTTTCCTATTTTTCCCCACTCTGCATGTACTCGTACTTTCTCATAGGTTGTTGGTTCTTCAATATCTCTTGGATAAGGGTATTTCAATAAAGTAAGGACCCCTGTTAAAGGCAATAAACCATAAAGTAAATTATCTCATGATGAAGGTTTTCTGCTGGTTAATGAAAAAAAAGAGGGAGAAAGTAGTTTTCTCTCATTCACCTTACAATAACAGGAGGAAAGCACTCATTCTGTGAATGCTGTTGTTCAAAATTTTACCTCAATAATAGTACATATTATACTCACCCGAATCACCACCAATCAAAGGCTTATTTTCAAAATGTTCCACAAATTCATTGATATTTGAAAATGATCCCATTCCAAATTTAAACTGTGAACCGTCCCAGCCGATTTGAAAATGCTTCACAGAACTGGCACATCTGAGAAAACAAAAAAAAAAAGTGTCAATTTAAAAGTAAGATTCTCATCATTGTCTATACATCACTCTCTGTTTTCATGGTTTGTCTAATCTGTGTGCAGAAGTGTGTCTTTTGAGGGGTCTGTGTAACCACACCTCTACATTGTAACAGCTTGAATTGTTGCCACTGATACACCAATCAAAAGTTGGAAGGATTCTTCTGACCAAAGAGACAGCTGCTCTAAGTGCATCTGTTGTTGGGATCTTACAAACTGATCTGAGAGATCAAAATAACTTACCTCACTGATAATGAATATTCTCCTGGATTAGATGCACTAGCTCGAAGTAAATAACTCCCATCTCTGCCATTAGCCATCAACAAGCCTTCTGCCACATGACGACTTACATTGTAGTGATACCAACTGAAAAATGAGCAAATGAAAAGTCATAATCTATTAGTTTCTCATGATAAAAACAACAAAAGAGAAATAAGGAAGGAAAAAAGGATAAAAGAGAACCAATTTATATAATTGAATGACTTAAGTTTAAGTTTAAGTTTCATGTACAACACGGCTATTCCCTAATGGCTCAATCCATTCCTAATGGCTTTATCATGTGTAATGCAAATTTTAATATTTGTATATAGTATTTTTTAGCCTTTTTTTTTTATTTAGTTTTTTTTATTCTTTCTGTAATTAGTATTAAGTAATCATTTGTATAGTCCATAATCCAGCCTTTTGGCTGCAATTGATTTTAATAAAGCTATCTATCTATAGTATCTAACTTCTGCCCGGTTCTAATTTTGGTCATAAATTCACCTTTAAAAACATTTGAAATGAATAGGAACTTGATTAAAGCGGTTCATTTGAATGTAAAATAACGTGGGCTTATCTCTAAATTATTTGCGTTCGGTTATATACATATTGGAATATCGTTACAACGTGGTATTAGTGCTGCGAATATATAAACACAAACAAGACGCTTATTGATATATACAGATGGCAATCATTTTAACGTTTAGCTGAGGTCAAAAATTAAGAGAGACCTCAAGGAAAATAATACATGAACGCCGCTTAAAATTCCAAATAAATTGGAATGAGAAAATTGAACATCAACACACGTTTCCTGCCCCTTGCTAAATCGAACGTTTATTTTCAAGGGTTTTATTGTAAAAAATGCCCACCATTTTTCACGGTATTGTCACTCAATACGGTTTTAACGACCGCTCTATTTCCTTATGTTAAAAAAACATCCGCTAAAATATAACAGGGTGGCCTAAATTTTCAACAAAGAAAGCAGTAGCCTATATTTTTCAATGAATGTACACAGCAGATGTTTAAAATACGTTTGGTACAAAGAGCTTGTGTAAAAATAAACGGAAAAAATTATTTTCCAGACACAAAACTGGGGAAAAACTTCTCCAAAAAAATTGTTACGCCAGAGTCAAATACATATCGAGATTGGCATCTGATAATTTCCCTTGTAAAATCAAACTCCATGGTTTTCTCGGTACGCGGTTCAAATTAACTAACGCATCCGAATTCCAGACAAAGACACGTATGATATTTTCAAAGGAAATAAACCTCTGTGTTGCTTCGATCTTTCTGTTACCTGTATATTTTGAACATTAAATATATAACGCTCCATCATATTGATAAAGAGGGTTAAGATAGCGAGCATAGACCCTTACCTCAATTGTTCTACCTCTGCGTTCACTCCATGGCCGGCCATCTTTGTTGTATCTTTGTCAAAATTAGGAAATCATTGGCATAAATCCCCTCTGGGGATCCCAGGAGATTTCATTGTCGTATTTACTGAGTGGGGGACGGAAGGGCTGGGTGAATGCGAAACTTCCGGCCGGATGTAAAACAGTGGAAGAGAGTCAAATCCGAAAAAGATGCACAGTTTCAATTGTTATTTACACTGACCAACTGGAAAGGTTTTTTTCTTGCAAAAATGTTAAAAAATCACTTATTTGAAGTACATTCAACTGATGCATTCTAACAATTATGGCGGAAATTCTTATGCTGTTAAAATTACTTTATTCATAAGTTTGTAAGACTTGTTAAATGTTGAGGTTAAACGCGAAATACTTCTGATGTTTTGAAACAAAGGTCGCTCCTAGAACACGCCCCAAACTTCCATAACTGGTTTTATCTGTTCATTGTGTTTTTAGATACATGTAAATCAGCTTGTCTATTCACTGGACGTTTCAGTCAAGTGGTCTGCTTCAATATTCATAACTACGCAAACGCTGATTTGCATTCAGACGTTATGAAGAATAATTAATTTACGATCTAAAATAAGAACCGTAGATTAATTTACCTAACCCTTCATAAGGCTCTGCAATATTATAATCTTATGATCTCCCCCTTCTCATTTGCAGTCAAATTGCTGGCGAAGAAACCCCCCCCATGCCCCTTTGCTCCCCCTAAATACCATATGACCTCCCTCGTCTAAAAAATCTTCCGCCCTCCCCTGCAGGAGAAAACTGGTGACGGGGCCCTTTGTTCAGTTTATTAGCTTCGTTTGTGTCAGCAGGAAAATCAAAACAGTACTAAAGAATACGGAATGCAATTTTAGTTTAGCTCTAAGCCACACAGTAGTAAATTATTTGCCCGCACATTTTATCAGATTCTTACACGTGGTAATCAAGAAGTGGAGACTATTTGTAACGCCTTAAATCTTGCTAACATCCGCGTGGATAACGCCTTCCTATTTCTAATTAAAAATTGTAATAAAAAAACAAATGACAATGACTTAATGAACAGATGGCTGATAATTTTTCCTCTCACCCACACACCAGATGTCTGTCGCCCGTCTGACGTAAACAAACGACAAACTAAGTGTCTTATCGGTCTACTTACAGACTGCGAGTTTTCCTTCAAAAGTTTTCCTTGGGTCAAATGGAAATTTTACATTGCGGCCAACGAGAAAGATAATAAAACTCTGTGCAAAGACGCTTAAAGTTGCAAATTCTCCTAACCTTCAGCTGCCTACAATTTGATTTGCTATATCTTTAAATGCAGATGTCCCGCAACAAATTGAATACGGTATTTCCTCGTACAAGCGCCCACGCTCTGATAAGCGCTTTCCCCCGAATAAGCGCCCATTCCTTAGGGCCTTGGCCATACGGTCAAAAGAACGCGCCTATATCGAATAAACACCTCCCCTCCCCAACCTCTCCTCACCCTATGCCCTCACTTTCTCAAATAGTAGAGATCATGAATGAAAACCTGTCTCTATAACCACTTTAACGAAGACTTTCAAGGCTCCGTCTTAAGTAGAATCAGTACAGGAGAATAATAAGTTTCTCCCTCGATTAAGCGCTCTCCTCCCCATCAGCGCCTCTCCGTGAAACCGAATTTTAGATAAGCATCCGGGCTCTCACTCGATGCAATGCCGTATCTTTCTCAGTTGCTAGTTGGGAGCGTGAGCTAGTGTCATGAAAGGGCTAGTTAGCTGACTGCTAGTTTGCTCTTGCCTTAATTTTTTTTCTTCATCTTCAGTTGAACTTATTCATATCCATAACAGCATTTTTTCATCATAAAGAAAGAAATAAGAAATTCTACGTTAGTCACTAAACATTCAAAGAAAATGATATATGTCCCCTCCCATCCCACCCTAGAAAGGCATAAGAAAGCACTGAAACCAGTTCCCTCTCGACAGTATCGCCTGGAGTATTTTAGCAAATCTTCGAACATGTCGCTGGTAATTTGCCTGTTCTAACTTTATTCATCTCTTTTGCATGATTTTTCGATAATAAGATTTTTGTTGATGTGTTTTCCTGTTTGCAGGATAGTGAGTTGTCATATGCACATCGTGATGGGCGATTGCTGGAAATTATTGACGAAAACTGGCAGAAGGACAAGCTACCTAACGACGGTGTGTAGATGAACGGCGTTAACCTTGAAGCATAGTTCGGCATTCACACAGATAACTCGAGATCACCGGGAAAGAAAAATATTACTAAGTAACAGAGTTGAAATTCATTGGTTCAAATACTCTCAGAAATCTTCATGGCAGATGCCCGTGAGACCCTTTCGAACAGAGAGTTTGTTCGGAGAATGACCTCGTTCAACCACGTTTCACAGCTGTTGTCTCGGGTTAACATTGGTTCCTCGTTTATTAAGATAATCGAATGGTGCCATATCAGTAAATCAGGTTGTTATTCTTGGCAATCGCCGCTCGAAACAAAAGTAGCTATGCTATCCAAGGGTATTAGAGAACAACTTTGGGTAAGAGTCTCGCCCTCATTCATCGTTCAAACCCAGCCTTTTGATCCAATGTGCAGAGCACAAATCATTGAGCTGCCATGCCTCTCCTATGCCACACTAAACTGCATCACAAGGGGAAAGCGAGGGGAAAGTCCATGAGTACCCACCTCCCCCTACCCTGTGAGGAATATTATTTTGATTCAACCACGTACAGTTTACAAAACCATATGAGTGTATCTCATATTATATATTGGATTATAACTGAGCCCCTTTTCAACTTTAACCTTCAACTGACTTCTCATTCTGTTTTAGAAATTGCTGTTCCAGAATTTGAACTTCCACCTGTGGATGACAGTGACCGTGAGTATAGACCATTATTTCTACTGTAGTGCAAGGCTTTCAAAGTTTTAGTGAAGGAAAGGTATGCTCAAAAGCATTTGTAAACATTTCATCAGATGTTAGACTATTGTTTAAAACATCAAAATTGGTTGGAACCATAATTTTATGATCAATCCCTGAAGATGAAATGATACTCTTTCAGGCAAATAATTCTCTTGTGAGTTCAATAACCACTGCACAACACTATTCTGTGCAAGGGTTCTGTTGTCTCATAAATTGAAAATCACTTGTCATGTGTTTCTCTTTCACTTTAATTTACAGACAATGGAGCCACAGACTCCCTAAAAGAGCAAGAACAGAAATGGACAGATCTTGGAATCCAGCAGCTACAGGAATCACCACAGCACACTGGAAACTAAATGAAAACATTGTATTTGACAAAATGCTAGTTACTAAGAAAGCTAGGGAAGAGAAAAACAAATCCATGGATATAAAGTTAGAGATGGTTTTTGTTCCCTATCAAACCATGATAATTTAAGTTTACATATTTCCTTTTCCTACAAATAAATTAATTAACCCTTTACACCCTAACATCAGTATGCATATTCTCCATACTGATCTCTGTACATTTCCCAAGGTGCTGACAAGGAGAATTAGCTTAACAATCCAGAGCTTCTGTAGTTAACGATCATTTCCATTATCCTCATGACTTTAGCGAGTGATTCAGGGGTGATATTGTGAGGAGAATTTAGATGCTAATCACTCTTAGACGTTAAAGGGTTAAGCAATAGACTGCACTTCCTATTGGTTTACTGGTGAAATAACTCACTTAGGATGTTGGGAAAACATGAAAAGTTTGTGGTAAATTATGAGTGGTGTACTCATTAAATACTACACCACAGATAATAATGAAAGATTTGCTGCAAGCACAGGAATAAGTACTACCAGTTGCAAAGACTATTGAGATTAAAAAATTGTTTGGGTTGGAAGAAGAGCATGTAAGATTAACCAACCAGGTGTTATGACTATAATAGTAACATCTGAGAACATAGTGCACAGTTTCTCTGTTTCTGAATTGCCTGTAACTGCTGTTTACATTACTTTTCGTAACCTTTTTTCACACAGAATTCATTACGACAAATTTTCAAAAGAACCTGTGTTGAGTTTTATTTTCTTTTTTCAAGGATTTTTTTTAAGTACAAACTCTAGAGGCCAAATAGTTACTTAACAACCATCAGTATTATTATTGTGTAACAAGAACTGTAACGATGCTCTTAGTATGAAAATAATTTACATATGAAATGTATAAAATTTAACATAAAATATGTTTTGAAAATGTAAAGTGTATCTTGACTCATGCCTGTACAATGAACGGTAATAAAGATAATAAATTTGAAAATATGGGATTTCATGTAAACACAGTATAAATATCATTAATTTGAGTACAATGTACAAATGCAGTTTGTAGAGCATAGACACAAAATTACAAACATTAAATAAATCTACACCAAGAGTTAACATTTAAGGTGTAGCTTCCCTAAAGAACATAAATGTGAACTTGAACATAACAGAGAGGGTTTTTTAAAACCTGTTTCTGATTACCAAAGGTGACAAACTTACACCTTCTCGTCACAATTTCAATACGATATCCAACAAGAAAGTGATGAGAATAAACAGAGTAATCAACTAGAAAATGCTTTCTTAATAGGTAACCAAATTCTCATAACTAATATATAAGCAAATGTATGACAAGTTAAAGGAGAGTTGCATATCAAATCTTGAAAGCAAAAAGGATATAAGAAAGGGCAGATATCATTTTATCTACCAGACAAATTGTTACTCTGAAGATAATAGTAGTGAACGCTGTAGTTTGTGTTATCAACACTTATCTCTTAAAGATGATAGCTTTGAGATTCATACATTAAGAGCTTGAAAAAAACTTTAGTCAGAACATGAGGAATAATACTTGTATCACACCACACCAAAATGTACAATTTTCAGTGTTCCAGCAGGATTTGCTATCTCCTCTGAATCATCAATTCCCAGCTGCCAAGAAAATCGTTCAATTACTAATTAAACATCAGTATATGTAACAAAAAGATTCCACAATGTTGAGCATCTGTTCAGTAATAAGTCACAGTTTACATTAAATGTGGTAAGAACAAAAAAGTGGCACATGAGGTGTATCTGATTGTGTCACTGACTTTCTTGCCATATTTTGAAGTCTTCTGTTATCTAAAACTGAACAAACCCATCGCAAAATGGGAGGGATTTCTTATGTTTTACATAATAATAAAGAAAAAAGTTGTAAGACCAATCTAGATGTCTGCAAAAGCTTACATAAACTGGTATGGCATATGACTGTGAAATCTTAGGTCCCAGGTTTGATTCCTTGTGAGTGTTTAAACTTTATTAATTTCTTGCCTGTGAAAAAGCTCAACATCTTTACTCATACGTTTTGTTTAATCCTAATCAAAAAAGAGTGGTAATGATGGGAATTTCACAAACTCAGAGAACAAGTTGCTTTGTAAAAGGATCAAAATGGTAGCAGAACTTATCAATCTGTAAGTTATGTTTATTGAATAGGTCGGAGTACTAATATTGATGTGAGTTGAATATGAAAGTTTACCATAAACTTACTTCATCAATTCCTTGCCCTGAATAGTGCTGACCTAGAATGAAAGACAAAGGCAGGAAATAATAATAAAAATAAAACTGCCAGTAATTCAAAGTGGGAAAATCAAGTATGTTTGAGATAATCAGACAAGAGAAAATAGTCATATGAAATGTCCGCTATTTTGAGGTACAGGTGTAGTCATCATAAACATGATGTTACAAAATGACCAAGTCCACTTATTTTGCATCTTCTGCAGAGTTAATGGTGTTCCTTTAAAACTAGTTTTTTAAAACCTATTTAGAAATTGGCATTTTTTCCTATCACGCATCTGCAATTTTTCAAATGATGTGGGTCATTACAACTTCCTGTCATCAAAAAAATGTTAACCAACGATTTAGAGAAGGAAGAAAGTGAACTCTATAAACATTATCAGTGATGAGCAGCACTGAAACTCACTTCTTTGTGCTCCTTGCATAAAATTGGCACCATCACTGTCCTCATCCTCCAATGGCATCAGGTGATGAGATGTTACTGTGTGATTATGCATGTAATCATACTCATCACTGGGATAATAAACACCATCGCTACTCCTTATAAGACCATTGGCCATTTCCTCCTCAATGTAGGACAGGTCCTCTTCTTCATCATCATATGATTCACCAGTATCTTACAAAAAAAAATCAAAGTGTTAATAGGAGTCAATTTCTTTCAAGCGTTGTAAAAAACAAACAAAAATTATCACAACTGCCTATCAGAGTGGAAGAAAAACACATGGAGCCAATGAGAAATCAAAGCAAAAAAACTTTAACACCCTGAATCGCTGAAAAGTTGGTGAAATTTAGGAAATGACATTTGAGCAAATTTAAAACACATTGTGTTGACAGGGAAGAATAGGAAAATAGTTGTATAATAAAACCTTTGTCTCTAATTATGTCACAGGAGAACAGAAATCCCCATATTTGTGGAAAATGTAATTCCCTTTCTCACTTCTGGTTTCCTTTGGAATGGATTTACTTTTACTGGGCCAGATGGCTTCTTGTTGACTGGGTCATCATGATCACTTAAACTCATCTTGCCAGACACACAAAACTTTTCACTAAAATGGTTTACTAATAAAAAGATTGCATAGGCAAGGCCTTGCAGGTCATATGAAAAACCTGTTTAGTATTATTTACTTTTTGATACAAATGTACCTGATGTTAGAGATTCATTGTCAATTTGTATGGCTCTTTGCTTTGCTACTTCAGCAAGTGGTAAATTACCAAGGTCAGCAGCCAGGTAATGAATGTCCTACCAAAGGACGCAAAATAAACCTTCATTATAACATCTTACAGTTTATACAAACATGACAAAGAGCTGAAAAATAAATGACCACAAAAGATTAGAAATGAAAAACTTCACAACACAAAAAAAGACATGAAATTATAGAAACAAGTAAAATACATGTTGTAATCAAAGTGATCTTTATTAACAATAATTGTTTCTCACCATGAAAAGGTCTTTTGCTCCTATGTCTACAGCTAATAGAAATGCTTTTTCAAATCTTCTAAATCTAGCATAACCATGTAAAAGAGCAAAAAATAAAGCAACATTTAATTTAATAGTTTATTGTGAAATTATTAATAATAATTTGCTGTTACCATTATTACATCTAGGCCCTGTTGTAGAGAAATAATCTAAAAATGGGAACCAGTTATTGGGGATTAAGGACAATCTACATCAGTGACCAAGACAGATTTTCTCCTCACAATATCAACAGAAAATCAAGCAGACAAGTATTGAGAATAAAGAAAAATATCAATTAAGGGATTATTAGTTGATCAAATACCAAATTTTCAAAATTAATGTTATGAGAATTGTAGAGCAGACAGTAAGGAGAGTTGGGATTAAAGGGTTAAAACCTTCAAAATTTTCATAATGAACAGTCTGAGATTTTTTTGAGTGTAATCAAAATTTTAGATAATTGTCAGTATTCAAGCTTTAACCCTTCCACAATCAAGAGTGCCAATTACTACCCAATTTCTTTTGAGACTATCAATACATTCATGGGCAGAAAGGTGACAAGACAATCATATCAATTAGGGGAACTTCTCTGATCAAATGGCAGATTCTCAAAGCTAAAAATATAAGAGATGTATCACAGACTTTTAAACTGGGATGTTAAGAGCAAAAAGTATAAGTTAAGTGACATAAACACCTAAGCAAGTGATGGAAGAATCTTCTAGACAATTTACTGATCATGTCTCTGTGATGTAGAACTGTTTCATCTGAGAGCGGTCGGCTGGGTGCATAAAAACTACCAAGTGTCTCTTCAAGAAGACCTGAGGAGGAAAATATTAATTCATATACAACTAGTAAAATCAAGACTGAAATGTCAAGTTGGAGGTAACATAGTTTGCCACAACTATTGTAAACTATGAAATTGGAAAATTGCATTGTCCCAGAGGAGAATTAGAATCATAAATATTAATTGCAACTAATGGTCTTCTTAATTACCTTCCCTCTCAGAGTTCAGCGGAAGTTTTAGTAAATAATTCATAATAATGGACATGCAGGCAAAACAAGCATTGCCCTCCGTGTTCCAGTTCATACTGTTAAGAAAGTTCACTGCCTGTAAAATAAAAGGTACCAGTATCACTTATCATAATCAAACTTTTTCATGACATCAGAGACCAGTCTCTCTATCCTCACATTATAATGTTGATTTCCACACTACATACCTCTTCAGCTTGTTCATGTTTAATATACTCTGACACCAGCTCCACTGTGCCAAGTCGTCCATTTGTCAACACACCTAATTCAAGTCTCAACAAACACAAAGGTCCCCTGTAAAAGACAGAAACATTTAATGAAAATTTTCAAAATGAAGTCACTCACCTTTGGAAAGTGACCGTGAAACGGAATGAGCATTTACCCTTAGACCACTAAGAGCTACCAACATTTAATTTCATCTCACAGTATAACCCCGAATCACACATTATGGTCATGAGAATAAAGGAAATGATCACCAACTAAAGAAGCTCTTGATTGTTAAACAAATTCTCCTTATCAGTACTTTAGGAAATGTATAAAGAACAGTATAGAGAATATGCATACTGATGATAGGGTGTAAAGGGTCAAGGAAAAATTGGTAGTGACCCTGCTGTCAAAAATTGTGTATCACTACAAACCTGTCAAACAAGATAACCAAGTTGTCATGGCAACATAAACTGTTATCTGAGAGGTTACCAATAGGAGCTTCGCATGACCAGGACACCTTATTCAGTTTCACTGGGTTCCTAAAAGACAAATTCTAAACATTATCCTGTAAAATTTAGAACATAAAACAGAGTTCCCCTTCAAGGCAAAAAAAAGGGCTTGACATCCATTGATAGCAATTAGAGTTTATTCCTGTCACAGTTGGATAAAGAGACCATAAGTATTGTTTTTTCCTCTAGACCACCCTCCCCTACTTTGCATCTTGTCTGGTTTTGCTCACAATTTGCTTGTCCTTATCTACGTTTGGGGTGGGGAGAGACAGCACAAAGAAATTGTGCCAACAATTCAATTTGATGCTAATTAACAAAAAAGATACTTATTATAAAAAATATATCCACCAAAGAGACTTGGTAAGTTGAGCAAAAAAAATCAGTAATTCTTGTTGGGTTATAGTAATCATCAAATGTTAAAAATCTGCTTACAGTAAGTATTCACGGAGCTTCAACGTATGTTGTGGGGAAGGATTTTCTGCTACAAGTTGAATAAGGACTGGAGCCAATGCCATGTCGTATACCTAGAAGAAATCCACACATTCATTAGTCATTGATTAAGTAATAACATTTAATAATAACACAATTTAAACCACCCATGCTAAAAAGCCTCAAAGAAATCTTTTGCAAAAGCTGCATTTAAAACTGGTGATTATTTGAAGGGAGTTAAAAGCTACACATTTCTTGTTGTATTTACCTTAATGTCTCCATCAGCACTACATACTAGCACCACAGCATCACCAGGATGCCAATGTATAATTGACGGAATCTAAAGAAATGCAACACATTCATCATTCAACACAAGATCAATCAATCAGTCAGTCAGCCATTTAATCAGTCAGTTGATCAGTCAATCAATCAATTGATCAAAATTTTGATCAATCAATCGATCAGTCACTTAGTCAATCAGTGAGTCAGCCAGCGAGTCAATGTGTCAGTCAATCAGTTAGTCAGTCATAATCAGTCAAGCAACTGAAAGTGCACTGAATATTTTTCACACAATTATAATATCATACATGAAATAAAACTATCAGCACATTACAGTAAAATTTATAATCATGAAGCTGTGATGTGCACATTTCTTACCAGGCTGCCTTTTGTCATCTGGGTCACTCGCCTGTGGTCATCATACAGCATCTATCAAGAAATGTCATTCACATGCAGTCAGTGAGTCAGTAAATCGGTCATTGAGTCAGTCAGTTGGTCGGTTAATCAGCCAGTCAGTAAATCAGTCAGCCAGTCAGTCAGCAAACCAGTCAGTCAGTCAGTCAGTCAGTCAGTCAGTCAATCAACCAAAAGTACAAGGAAAGTTCTTACAGGGGCTGTAATAGTTCATCATTTGTTTCATGTTACTTACTTGTCAAGGACTCCAATTTAGCTTAACTAAATGGATCATCAAGATGAAAAATTACTAGCCATGTAATAAACAACTTTAACTCTTAGATGATGTGTGATGTTTAATTTAAGTATCACAACAAATATTTAAACTGCAAGGCTCAGTTTCCATACAATTAAGCACAATTTGAATAACATCTATTTTGTTCACATACCAAAGTGCCATCCTCACATCCCAGCAGTAGTTTGTCCTCAGCGTGATTTCTTTGTTGAACAATAATTGAAGCTAAACACATACCAGGATACAAATTGATGTCAGTAAAAATAACTGGAGAGGGTTGCTTTATTTTTTAAAAAAATGGGTAAAAAAACAAACCAAGTTAACACCTGAATTTCCTTGTTCAATACCTTTTAATGGAATAGTGGTAGTAGAGAGTTTTTCAATCTGTTGAAGTAAAATTCACATATCAAAAATACTTTTAATGGCAATTTTTACAAAAGATCCTGTTGACTGACAGAAATCAGGATAAGCAGCTGCAGAAATGGATTATTTGGTCTTTAACCCTTTCACCCTGAAGAGTGATAAGCATCTAATTTCTCCTTACAACATCACCCCTGAATCACATATTAAGGTCACAAGAATAAAGGAAATGATCACCAACTAAAGATGCTCTTGATTGTTGAACAAGTTCTCCTTATCAGCACCATAGGAAATGTATAAAGAACAGTATGGAGAAGATGCATACTAATGTTGATGCACATAATTGTTACTTGACCAACCTTGGTGCCATTATAAACATAAATACAACTATCAATGCTATTTTCTCCTCCTCCAGCTGATGACTGCTCCAAGGTAAGAATGTGGTGGGGCTGATTGAAACTAAGGAATTTAAGAAGAAAATATTTGTGAACATTGTTCAGGCATGTGATGATTAAACCAAATAAATATACAACAATGAGGCTACACAAGATGTGACGTAGGACATTAGAAAGAGAGTTCAAGGAGCAGAGGCTTAGAACCTGGAATGAAGCAGTCACAGATACACAGGAAAGCGCAAGCAGGAGACTGAGAGGGAGTTGCCCTATCTTCTCCAAGGAGAGGAAGGGAATGTGGTAATATTTCAAACAGATGTTACAAGCAGCGTTATATTTCAATCCCATTGAATGTCAAGGATATCATGCATAAGCAGGATAAGAAATTATTCAGTGGAGCTAGGACCCTAAGCCATCATCCATTAAATGAAATTCTGCCGAAGCCTAAACCCCAGCAATATAATTTACATTGAATGGTTTGCCTCCGCCCAAAGATTAACCCTTTCACTCCCACAAGTGACCAAGACAGAATTTCTCCTTACAATATCAATACAATATCAAGCAGGCAGGTGATGGGAATAGAAAAGGATATCAATCATGGGATTATTAGTTGATCCAATACCAAATTCTCTGAACTAACATCATAAGGATTGTATGGCAGATAGTAAGGAGAATTACTAACTAGATCTTGGGAGTGAAAGGGTTAACACAAAACATTTCATGAACACATTTGTGAATAGACTAATTTTTGAACACAACCTGTTATAATTACATAATTTAATTTAGACCATAGTATATTATTGTAATTATCATTACACAGTTTCTTGTTTATGTAACATACAATATGTACCTGTTATCTTATGGTTTATTAAAGTCAGACTTCAAGACTTCAAGATGATGATAACAAGGTCAAAAGTATTTACATACCTGAACAAAGCATGTATAGGCTCTGAGTCTGATCTAACAAAGGACAGCATCTCAATCTTTGGCCTTGATAATCATCAGAAATAAAAAGAAGCTTTAATCAGAGAAACGGATTAAAAAAATGATTCATTTTGTGTAACAATCATGCACTGGTGGTATTCAAAATCCTTACCCATTCAAACTAAAGATGGCCATATTTGCTCTGTCCTTTTCAGCAGTCATTGGAGACCATGGCCAAGCTTCTTCACTGTGGCCAGACCACCAAACCAGTGCCTATTAACAATGATCAAAGGTTACATCTAATGAACTTCATGCCTCATTTCTATTGGATATCATCTAAGTTTCCATTACCTAAGTTAATCCACTTGGTTAAGACTCAAACCTACACCTCTGGCTCTTTATACCCTAACATCAGTGTGCATATTCTCCATACTGTTCTCTGGACATTTCCTAAGATACTGACATGGAGAATTTGCCTAACAATCAAGAGCTGCTTTAGTTGGTGATCAGCTCCTTCATTCTTGTGACCTTAATGTTTGATTCAGGAGTGATATAATAAGGAGAAATTAGATGCCAGTCACTCTTAGAGGTTGAAGGATTAAATCCAGGGTCCAGGCTGGATTAATTATTAATTATTTTAATCCTCTTACCATGTCTTGGCGTGAGTTGATTGACAAGTGCCTGTCAAGTCTCTTACTTGATGGCCCAGGTAGATCAATGTACATTGTCTTAGAAAGAAGGTCAGTAAGAGAATAAAAATTACTACAGGTCAATATCAATATCTGGGCTACTGCCCACCTACCCCTCCCCTGACCCAACAACAGTCAATTGATAACAAGTTAGGGTTAATGTTGGGTTAGGGGAGGGGTAGGTGGGCAGTTGCCCAGATACTGATATTGATCCATTATAACAATAAATTTTAGTTGTGTTCCATAATGAGGAAAAGAGAAGATGCATTGAAGCCAGAAAAGTTGGAGAGAAGAGGATGGAGTTGAACAGGTACCCTGCAGTTTAGAGGATAGGATGTGGCATGTGGGGAAGAGGAGGGAGGGGGAAGCATAGCTAGGATTTTTCACAGGGGAGGGAACAGAGTCTTGAATTTCTACATGCCTTCCATGAAAAAACTTGTATACCCTTGCACTGCCAGGTGTATCACTAGGACTGCATTTCTGAGGCAAGAACGACCAGTAAATAACATAGGAGGTTTTGTTGGACAGAATTGACTAAAAAGATACAGTTCAATAGAACTACCTTTGGTTCCATGGCTGACATTTTTTCCAGCTTTTTGAAGTCCAGGCTTGGTTTTTTGTTAAAATACATAAAGCAAATTTTAGGTTTTTCCTTTAGCGAGAACAACAAAAAAGAGTCTCTGACAATTGCTGAAAATAAAAATGAGATATATCACTCTCCAGCAGCATGTAAGGAAATTAGCACAGCTTTTCTTTATCATCCTTTTGACCACTGAAATGCACAGGTAGTATTTCTATCATAAGTTACTACAGTAACTACAGAGATTTAGTTATACCTAAACACGTAAAAATTAGCCATATGAAGCTATGTTTTGGAATCTTCATGATGCCATTGTCCAGATAAATGTTAGGATAATGAATTCTGCTAGAATTAATAATTGCAATAAATTTACATGATTAAGAATGCAAGATTAAATTACAGAAATACTTTAACACTTTAACGCTGTAATCTAGTCTTGCATTCTTTATCATGTAAATTTATTGCAGTTATTAATACTCACAGAATTCATCATCCTAACATTTACCATGACAATGACATCATAAAGACTCTGAAACATTGGTTCATATTGCTAATTTTTACGTGTTTAAGTTACTACAAAGTGTGAATATAATGTAAAGTTAATTGGAGTCAACAGGATCAACCATGAAATGCAAGTGTGCCAATCTACCTTATACTGTGTAGTTTTCCATTAACTTTGTGTTTTGGAGAACACGCTGCACCTGCACTGTGTTGCGTCTCGTGAGTCCACAATATTTTTCCATAATATTGACAAAAATTGTTGTCAATAAGAGTACAGACCCCGCTAAAACCACTGTTGATTTGTTAAGTTTTTATATAAACTAGCCCAACTTGCCTCATCTTTGAGATGAGGCTCTACTGTTCCTTAGACATACCAACAAGGCTTGTTGGGCTAATCTACATAAAATGAATACAAAAGAATACTAATCAAGTCTGCTATTTAGGTATAAAATCCATCATATTAAGGATTATTTGCACACCTTTGTTTACTGCATCAGGAACTTTTCCAGTTAAAGTCTTGTCAAGGGAAATTTTTTCAATATCACCAGAAGAAGAGGACACCAAGATGGAAATCAAAGATCCATTACTAAGAAGCACCTAATCATGAAAAGCAAAAGCATCTTTATTAATTGTCTGTCAGGGATCTGCCTGAGTAGAAAACAATGCCATTACTGAGAAGTCTTCCAAACAACTGCACATTCCTTTTCCCCCTTTCAGAGTATGCTATGGATATTTATTAAGTAACATTTATAACTGTATGTCAAGGACTAAAATAATTAATTTAATATTTCAGGCACACATCACAAGTGAATTACACCTCACCACAACAGGTCACTGCAACTGTCAGTTTCATGTGTGTTCCTTAAATATTAAATTTTTTTGTCTCTTTTTTAACCCAAACCCTGACCCTGATTCACCTGTATATTTCTTAAAGTTCTCCATTGAACATCAAGGACTCTGTTCTGCTGTAACAAATCCTTCAAAAAGGAAAAAAAATCAAAGTAAGCAGACGATGGATTAGAAATATGCAAAGAATGATTCTACAATTTCATTGATCTAACAACTTTTGTTTCTAAAGAGTCTCTTCACTGCATTTGAAGAAGAAGACCCTGTAGAGTTAAGAACAATGTAACATTAAAACTACATAAAAGTTGAAAATATAAGGTATTGTTCTTGAAAAAAAAATTAAAAGTTTGCCAAAATTCACCCTCAGTTTGATAGTCACATAGCTTTTTTAATTTCACAATAAATAAGAATATTTTCTTTAAAAAACATTCCAAAGATATAACAATTATTGATTTCTCCTTTGCTAACTATTCAATTATGTCTTGATAAAATAAGTAGAAAAAAAGACTTAGACAGGCAGCTCCTGACCTCACACTCTTTAAGAACATCTCTTAGCTTCTCTGGTCTACGGTTTTTTGGTGTCCATGATATTCCCCTGTCCTCTCCCCAAAGTCTCCTTTGTTCAGAGTAAGATGTGTCCCCTGCAGGGCCTAGTAGACCAATGAATACACTCAATTAACTCTCCAGGGAGGAGAAGAGGTAAACACTTCCTATAATAATTCTTCAACAGCTTAGCAAGAGAGGGGAGGACCCGGGATGTCCATGATCCCCCTTTATAAGCCTTTTTTAAAAGTAAACATGGTATGGAGGTCAACATAGCAATCAAGTGAGTATCCTCTGTTTGAAACAATGTGATTCTCCCTTTGAAAAATCCCGGCTATGCTCCTGTTCTTTGCTAAAAAGGGTGCAGAAAGGTGTGAGGAAGATAAAATTTTGTATATGCAAAAAGGATACTGAATTCCGTCATGAGATGTTGAAGTATTATGGTTGATCATCATGTTTTCCAAATTTAACCCATCATCAGAGGCAAAATTTATTTGAGAAATTCCTTCACCTGGAAGTTTACACTTAGTAATCAACTGATACTTCCAGGTTCAAATCAATTTTCAGAGGAAATTTTTCCACTTATGAGACAAGTTTTTCTCATAGGATATCTTCCAACATACCATTTTCACAAAAATACCATTAATGGAAAATCAAATCCTTTACATAGAACAGTAAACAAAAAAATTGCCACCTGTACCAGAAGCTTTATCATGGTAAATATGGGTGCCAATATCAGAACCTGTGTTGGACAGAAAATAACATAAATATTACCCATTCCACAAGGAGTGTGTTCAGATTTACTACTAAACACGAATATTCAGGATCAAAACAGGTTTAATTTATTTACATTGAACCATAAATAGTTTTCATGGGTCTTCCGATGAATTATCAAAGAAGCCACTGATACTTTCCCTCTCCTAATCTATATTTATGATCGTGCCCATAGTAAAAATTTTTAAACTGGGAAAAACAAAATCTATGGAAACAACGTTTTTCAAAGGATTATTGAAAGCAGACTGCTGCAATTTTAGTCACAAAATCCTCATAGCTTTATCAAAGCAACATTTGAATAAATATCATCTCTCAAACTTTTACTGACAAATGAGGACTAAGGTTCTTTCACTGTTAATCATGAGTGTTTTAACACCGATCATGACACCCTTTTAATTTTTTATACGACATACACTTCTCACTTCGATAAGACTTTGATAACAATAGCATTTGATATTATTGTGATGGAAAACTACTTCTGTCGCTTCGAAATTTTAAAGCTCACGGGAAGCTGAGGATTCTTTAGCCGGTGAGAGCAATGGAATTTTTAGTCACACTTGCCTGTCCTGTTTGCAAACTTCCTCAATGACCAGAAGTGCAAATGGCCAAGTAAGCTTGCCATCTAATTACAACACGGTGAGTTCTTTCATGTTACATAAGTCACGAACTCACGAACTCAACAAAGTCAGCCATTTTATGTTTCAACGTGATACGTTGTGTACGTTACATATTCTATCCTACTAACTTTAATGTTCTTTCCTTCAATGTTCTTTTGAATGATCGTATTAAAGTATCAATGAAGTGAGTAACTTGTAACGTAAAGAGTACGTTTCCTTTTTTTTCATTTATTTTCAAGTACATCGTTAGAATCATATACAGAAAAGAGTATCCATGTAAACCTTGTTTGCAGATTCCTCTCTCTTCTTTCATTTCGTGAGGAAGCTTCCTCGAGAGAGGAGCCCTGGGAATAAGATTTTATCCTCGCTTTCAAGATGAGGGTCGGCTAAGCTTTCACGTTCTTCTGTCCTGATTGATCAGTTGCTCTTTTCATAATGAGCGAAGTTACTTCTGAAACACATTCCAGCGATGATGGGAAACCCAAATCCTCGCTTCGGAAGTGTATCTCGCTCCTTAAAGTGGCAAAGACAGACACGGAGCGTTTTGCCGCATTGATGTTGGTCACTCAGTTGGTCAGTTCGAACGAAGTTGATGTCGCTGGTCGAAGGGAACTTTTTGACGCTATCGGTTTCAAGTTTTTGAACAGATTGTTGAGTACCCGAAATGTACCCAACGGCTGTCCTCCAGATGTGTATCAATCGCTCTCGTTGACTATTCTGGCCTGCTTTGCAACTGATGAAGAGCTCTGCTCTCACAGCGAGATGATAAATAAAATTCCCATGCTCCTGACCACTATCAAAGCAGCGGGACGAAACGAGTCTGCGATCGCGGATGATTGTTACCAAATTCTCGCCTCCTTCGCTGGTTCTTCGACCGGAATTAGACATTTAGTTGAAATGGGAGCAATTTCGAAGCTTTGCGAAGTCCTTGAAGAAAAATATTCAAAGAATGCTGTTGAAATCTTGCTTCGAATCCTGTACAATGAACCACGTGTGCATTGGCGAGAACAAAGAGACGACCTTCTTGGCGTACTGAGTACATTGAGCAGGCTGTTCAAAGAAACTCAAGACAGCAGTAAATTTGAACTTTGTAACTTTTTGTTGGTTTTTCTTTCGGGTGCCGAGAAATCTACGTTTGAAGGGCAAGAAGATCATCCGTGTTTGGCCAATATAAATAAAGCATTAAAAGATATTCTGCAATCAAGAATTTCGTCGTCACAGAGAGATCCCTCTCTGATTTTAATATCGATAATCATCGATCTGGTCGGAATGGATTGGATGGTTACATTTTCAGGACAAGATTCTCAGGGACTCTTTATTTTAAGCCTTACGATTGCCAGTGTTGAAATAAGAATGATTTTGGACGGTAAAACCTCAGAGGAAATCGAACCCAGGGCCATTGTCCTGACCAGCTGTTACAATATTCTCGAAAAAGCAATTAACTTTGCTATTGTTCAAACTCATACAAAATCTCATTTGCCGTCCATTGTTAGCGGCGGCCTGTCCAAAGTATATTCCCTGGCAACCGAGGCCATGCACTCCATTGGATTATACTTGGACCAGGTGGCACAACACGATGTCAGAGGTCGCCGAACTGGACAAAACCGCGTGGTTGTGGCGTCAGTCCGCATTCTTTGTGCGTGGATGTCCGAAGAGACTTCAGCTCTGCAAGAAGATGTCGGCAAGTTACTTCCATTTCTGTTGAAGATCGGAGATGAATCGCTTACAACAGGTGCTGTAAGATTTTCTTTCAATTTTTTTTCCTCTCCTTACGTAAACAGACCTCATACACGCCTTCCTAGTCTTGGTCCAGCGAATTGAAAACACCGGACTCTCGTTCTTGCCGAGTAGTACATCGTATTTTCAAAAAATGCATAGCTCGAAATAGAATTTTAAGTCCTGGTGAAGTAGAAAAGTCCAGATATGTTTGTAAAGCAGTTGAAATGGCGACACGTTTCAGTTCATTCAGGTCATCTTCGGCGAGCAATGGCGAATATGCGAATCATGTCATTTGCTACATAACAATGTTTTAAGTAAAGTTAGACATCTTTTACAAAGATGTGACTAAATACTGTTGAAATTCTCAGGAAAAGGTAAATGAAATTTTCTAGGACTGAAATGAAATGTGAAAAGGGCGTATTGTATTTTACTTTATAAAAGCTAAGTTTTACTTTTGTCTCACGATGTAGTCACGGGTGATGTAGATCGCGACGTGTCGACTGCATACTGCTAGCTTTTATTGTTATTCACCACGATGAATAACCACAACCTTTTCTACGAAATTTTACTTTATCTTTTGAAAGAGTACATAAGCTAATTTTTGGCAAACTGAAGGGAAATCGCTAAACTTTGTCGAACAAATATTTGGGACAAAAATAACAACGAAAAAATTCTTATTTTCTGATTGATCTTTGTTCAGGAACCTTGGGTGTGACCAAATCATTAAATATTCAGAAATATTTGCATCTGTCCCTCAGAGAGTTTCATTGTTTGAAAGAGTAACAAAAGGTGTTTTTTTAGTTTCTGGGTGAATAAATTGACTTTTCCTGGCATTTTAATGAGGTTGCTCAGCCAGAAAATAGCTTTTAATTTGGCACAAACCAACCCAAAAGTTCAGAATTGATGTCATGGTAGCAAAAATAAGTCCATTTAGGATTTTTTTCCTTCATCTCTTGAAAGGGATTTATAAGTAAAATTTCAGTGCTTGAGAATTAAATTACCAACTGTAGTGTATTGTTTGGATTGAATACTGAATAGACTTTTTTTAGCTTGTATGTATTGTTTACCCACTTCAAGTCATGTGGTTATATTCAAGAGAAATCTTTTCAAATTCCACATACTCAGATGCATATATATACACAGAATTTACAAAAGTTGAAAGGAACAGTTTTCTAGAGTATTACTACTTGACCTGGAATAAGTAAACACAACAAAGGCTGAAGAGGTGTATTTTCTGGACTAATCATCAAAGGCATGTGGTGGCATTAGTGAGAAGAATTTCCTTTCAGATGTCAGGAGTTTTAGGTTTTGGTAACTTGATCAAGAGGTTAACCCGTTTACTCCTAGATCAAATTTGTTATTCTCCTCGCCATCAACCAAACCATTCTTATAGTGTTGGTTTAGAGAATTTAGAATTAAATCAACTAGTTATCCCCAAATTGATATTTTTCTTTATTCTCATCACTTGTTTGGTTGATATTGTATTGATATTGTAAGGAGAAATTCGGTCTTGGTCACTCATGGGAGTTAAAAGGTTAAATGTAATATGTTGCTTTGTTTCTAGGTTATGATGAATATTTTTCTTCCTTTGCAGAATTTAAGCTTTGGTTTCAAGATGACAGAAAGGATGCTACAACTTCAAGTGAAAAAGACACAAGTGCAGGTCTACCAGATCTGGAGAATTTGATAGGGCATCATTCAGAAACTAGATATGACGTCATGCGTTTCATGTTACCACCCCTGTGTCACCTGTCTGCTGATGATAAAATGCGCAAGATCTTTGTTGAAAACAATGGTCTTGAACTTTTATCAAAGTACTTTTTTCATCATTGGAACAGTTGGTATGGACAAACAAATGGTGTCACAGATGACAATGAGTCAGAGACGTGTCTTATTACCATGCTCGGTATTTTCTTGAATATCCTTGTGACAGAACCAGAACTTTCAACAAAAGCTGAAGCACTTGAGGAGATTGGCAAACATGCCCTTTTGTCTTCTTCACAGCTACTCTTCAGAGATAGAAATATCACTATTTTAGTGAATCTTGTAGTCCTTGGTCTTTTGTTTGTGAAATGCCACAAAGACAGAGGAAAAACAGTATCGTTTGATCAATTAGAGGTATCTGTTTTCCTTAAAAACTCCATTCAGATCTTGAAAGAAGCAAGATACCCTACTACTGGCAAAACACAAGGAGACCCAGGTGATAGGAAGACTGAGTTAGCCACCCATTGCAGAGATTTCTGGGATGACATATCAGAACTTTGGTTTCTAGGCATACAGGTGCTGTTATCCTTGGCAGGTTCCATGTCTGTTGCCAAAGAGCTTCTTGAAGAGAGTGGATGTTATGAAGAATTTGTAAACATTGTGAATCAAACCAACAAAGAAGAGGAAAATCCTGGAGAGAAAAACTGAGGCCAAGTGTAAGTGATGTATTTTATTCAGTTTGATACTAAATTACACATTTTTTTTTCAAAATAGTAGCTTCAATATTCTTTACACTTGATGTTTTTTTTTTTTTAAGACTTTAGTAATCTTATCACATTATTGATTGCATACTTCATATACCCCTCCCTATTGTGTTATCTCCCTTGAAGAAGCAGCAGTGCATCTTCATTTTCCACTGTCTAAAATTAAACACTCAGAGATTCCACAAGCAGTACACAATTGTTTGTGATAAAGCTTCAAGTTTTTCTGTGTTTGAAATGATTTAAAGCTTAGGAGAAATTTGCAACAATGCTCGATTCATCAAACTACTTGAATTTTTTATGTCTGGTCTTGATTATCGTAAGATTATAATCTACAAGTAGAGAAAAAGAAAATTATTATTAACTCATTGTAAAAGGCAAGCCACGATACTCTGCGGGTTCAAGCTCTGTCCAAGTGGCATGATCTAAAGCTAACAAATTAATTTTCAAATAGAGGATAGAGAGAACAACAACTCTTTAATATCCAATATCAGGTTTTAATCATTTATTATCAAGAAAATAATAATGTACTATTATTTTAATTAGAAGATATCAGCACCTAAAAATGGCTTTAAAATTTTATAGTAGAGGTACAGTATGGCCAAAATACACACAAACTATATAAGCACATCACATGAATGAAATCCTTTACACCAAAATATTATTACTAATGTATCCTAGCTATTTTTTGACCTTTTTTACCATAAATTTAATTATTGAGTTAAGAGTGTAACAAGTAAATACCAAAGGTGGCAAGGAAGCCTGTGAGAACCTGCAGGGCTTCTACACGATGGGCTCCTTCTTGCATTTACTATAATTACAGTTAGATTCAAAAGTTACCCTTAGCTGCAAACTGAAGTTAAATGAGACAAACTTAATCAACAAAATAAATAATGAAATCTTTATTCAACTTTAACAAATTGATCAATGTGAACATTTAATGGAAACTTTGTGGTTGAAGGCTTGTCATAGTGCCAAAATGGTGCTAATGAATTTTTGACATCTTTTTCTGTTGCTTTCTCTTGTTGGAAATCCCGCTTCTGCAACACTAGTCACTCGTGTAGTTTTGATTCACTCTCTTTATTCACAGTTGTCACTCCCTTTGTATCGTGTCAATCCTTTTAACTTCTAATCGCAAAAACCACAATATCCTAAAAACACCCTTGTCTATGGTCACTAAGGTTACAAGATTGATGTCACTACTTCATGATGAGTGAAATCCTAAGTGAATTGATTTGTTTACAAGTCACGCACTAATTACTTCTGACACTTTTCCAACACTCTGATGGTGAGGATATATAGTAGAAACTGCTCTCTCTGGAAACCTCTTTGTGTGAATGGATTGGAAACAACTCAGTAACTGGTGACATGGGTCTTCTTTGACAATCAAGAAAAATAAACCACTTTTCATTGTCCTGTTCTTGGCATTTGGAGGTTATCTGAAGAGGTTTCTTTATGAGAGGTATACTTTCACTGGTGCTTTATGCTGAGGAGGGATTTTGTATGGTCTTAAGTTTCATTTGTCAAAGGAGTTGAAAAGCAGTGGAATATTCTCTGCATGAGTAAATTTGAAGGTGTCTCTGAAAGCTGTCTGTTAGTCAATTTATGATTCCTTCAGTTGCAGCTTTAGCTGCCAGGCAGCTTAAGTTTCTCCAGCACTATCAACTCTAGCACAGCTTCAGGCAATTCTAATGAAACATTGGTTCTCTCACTTTTGTCACACAATGTGCCAGGAGAAAATCTGAAGGTGTCACTGATAGCTTGCTGTTGGTCAAGTTTGTCAATTGCTTATTGCTTCAGTGGCAGCTTTAGCTGCCAGACAGGTTGAGTTCCTCCAAAATTTTAACTCCAGCACAGCAGCAGGTAATTCTGATAACAGCTTGCTGTAGGTCAAGTTAGTCACTTTCCAATTGCTTCAAATGCAGTTTCATTAGCCAAACAGGTTAATTTCCTCAAAACTGTTAGTTCCAGCACGGCTTCAGGCAATTCTGGTAACAGCTTGCTGTAGGTCAAGTTAGTCACTTTCCAATTGCTTCAAGTGCAGTTTCATTAGCCAAACAGGTTAATTTCCTCCAAAACTGTTAGTTCCAGCACCGCTTCAGGCAATTCTGGTAACAGCTTGCTGTAGGTCAAGTTAGTCACTTTCCAATTGCTTCAAGTGCAGTTTCATTAGCCAAACAGGTTAATTTCCTCCAAAACTGTTAGTTCCAGCACCGCTTCAGGCAATTCAGGCAGAAATACCAGAACTGTTAGAAAAAAATCTCACACTAAGTGTGTTGTTGATAAACTTTCTTTCTCTCTTTTCTGACAACTTTACTCTTCTTACTACTTTGGGGTCTAGTTATGCTCTAAAGGAAACTCAGCACGATTTCAGGGTTTGCGGAGAGCTTTTACAGACGTCAAGGATATGACAGCGTTTTGGTTCCACAGTAGACTTTAATATTAGGTCAGGCCAATGACTGACATGACCTCTAGTGTACACAACTTCGTAATCGAAGAAGCTTTACAAAGTACTTGCTCAAGTGAACGGGTGTAAGGTTCCATTGCTCGCTAAATTTACATTATTTGAATAGTATTACAAAAGAGCAGAAAAGGTCTATTTAAAGTAAAATGATACCTACTTAATATTCCCATCTGTTTTAATGATGGAAGAATTTCAAAATTCAAAATTAAACTGTAGGCCAAAAAATGAAACAATAAACTGTCTGATATTGAAAATATACATTAAAAACAAATAAAATAAAAGAAAACTGAGGTTAGAGAATTCAACAAGCTAGCTTGGACCTCGGGCTGATATTTTCAAAATATACCTATCTTAATTATAGTTTCAGAGTCCCATGTTTTTTTTCTATTAAAAACAAAGGAGGAAAAAACAAATTAAAAAAATTTCTGCATACACCAGTATTAAACATACCCCGTTACAAGGACAACAGATTAAATCTTAGCGATTCAAATACGGAAAGAGATATTTAAAAAATGTTCTAACTGCCCAAGGGGCATAGTAGAAAATAACCATATTCAAAATGATGAGGGTTTTCTTACTGTGACTTGTCCTGGCCTGATCTTTTGGTGATCTGTGCTTGTCGGTGCTTTGTCCCCAGGTTTCTGGTCCTGCCTTGACTGTTCTGCTGTCCTGGCTGGTCTTTTCGTATCCTTCAGTGGCTTAAAATGTCAATTGTCCTGGTTGTTTTTTTTGTTTTTTTGTTCGTGTGTTGTTTTCCTGGCTTTTCTTTTAGTGTCCTGGTGTCGCGTTGCTTTTCTTTCAGTTTCCCCGAATTGGAAACAAAATGAAAGTGTCTGTGTGCCACGCGTTCATCGAGGCTCTTGCCTTCTAAGACGTCGTAGCAATTGTTCGTAATGAAACTGTAAGTTCAAAAGAGGCACTCGTAGCAAAGAGCGCGGAAGGCGAAGAGATGGTTGTTGGTGAAAACCTCTACCGCGACCGCTCATAAGCCCGAGGTCCAACCACTAGCTTGTTAGACGATTTCTCTAACACTCGGTTGAATTCTTTTATTTTATTTGTTAAACAATAATAAAAGAACTATATTGATGGGAAAAAGGAATGGAAATAATATAATTTTAAGAAAGTAAAAATGCACAATTGTGAACCTAAAACAGTGAAGCAATTCTTGTGCTTTTAAGAGACATTCCTAACATTCCTCCCACCTTAAATCGAGACCTCCCGGTCGAGGGAAAGAACGATGAACGAGGGAACAAAAAAAAAAGTATCGAGCACTAAAGACGGAAGCGCGATAACAAAATATTGTATGGAAAAAAAAAATGTTCGTGGAGGCCAAGGTATAGCCTTGAGGTTAAATTTTTAAGCCAGACCTTGCTCGATGAGCCAGCGAGCAAGGTGGACGGCCTTTTGAGTGATCGACCATGGCTGGGTGGAGGGCACTTAAGGTCCTCCAAGTTCTGTAAGGTAATTCTGAGGCTCGGAAAGTTGACGATGTTAAGGAGGTCTGCAAAGATGCGTACCTTTTGGGGGCTCTTTGTCCATAGTATAATAGTGGCGGGAGCGGCGTGTCCCGCCTCCATCCAATCAAGCATGACTTCCTGAATGAAATATTGAAGAGTCACGCCGGTAGAGGTCGGCGGTAGTCCCGTCGAATGGAGAGGGTAGCCATGGTGGGCTGTTTGGTGGGAAAAGGTGCGGAGTGCAGCGGCACTCACTGAAACAATTCCGATCGTATCGAAGATACGACTCCCTTAAGACCGCGTCCTTGGACAAGCAAAGGCCAGGACCTTGATGTGGAACGTTTCATTGCCGTGTTGAAACCATGCGAGCTCTACGGTGATGGAGAGAGTCGCCATGTTGTTTTCTTGCTGTGCGGTCGTGAAGATTGCCAAAGGATTGTTGTAGCTCAAGGTCTCAAGTGAGCGGGGTTATATGTCATTATACTTTTCTTTCTATGAATTACTTGTCTATTCCATTTACTTCATCTTCTCTCTTTTTCCAAACAAACCTTCTGTCTTAAGAAAATAAAATTTTAAAGAAAACGAAAATGCAAAATTGTGAACCTAAAACAGTGAAGCAATTCTTGTGCTTTTAAGAGACACTGCAATCAAATTGCATATTGTGCAATTTGTTAGCCTGATAAAGTATATGGTTATTTTCTTTAAAACGTACTTATTGAGGAAAAGTGCAGGTGACTTCGAAGAAACACAGGGTTTTGCCTTCATAAATAAACGGACGGATGGGGAACAACCCGATAAACTTCTTCTGGGAAAAGGCCTTCCTGGGGGCACTCACTGGCTGTAGAAAGGTCGGGATCTATTATGGCTGTTGACAAAACGAAAAGTTTGCCACTTAACAGGCGGTGGAGGCAGAACATGATGCGCAAAGAGATCATTGTCCTCTGCCCCATAACTGTCTATGGTAAGTCCTTGTAATTCCAACCAGCAAAATGGATTTGGTGGTTGAGGTGGTGGTGGAAAGTGAACACGATAAA